TTCTACCCAATGCTGTAGATAGCAAGCTGTTTCAGCCATAGAGGCCTCATCAGTACAGCTACGAGCTAAATAGGCCGAGCTACCAACCATGGTGCAAAGGAGGCACCACACACATTAAGATAGCTCGTCGCTCTAGCGCCAGAGTGCTCAAACTACGAAAAGTAGCGGGCAATGCGTGATGCCGCAGCACTAGAGCAGCCTACCAAGAGTGCTCAACAAGACGAAAGCCGAGGAGCGTATTACAGTCAACTTCGCTAATAACGACTGCGGATATAACGACAATTCGCGAATAACGACAGACGTTCCATGCCCAGAGCAAAGTCCATTCTACCTGCATACATATAATGAGACTTCGGGTATAAGGACACTTCGCGAATAAGGACACTTTTCTGATGCCCGGCCGAGTGTCGTTATACGCAAAGTTGACTGTGCCCAACATACTATTGAACTGCAATGTCTACGGTATTGTTCCGGAGTATAAACCGCACTTTGAACACTCAAAATTCACCCAACAAAAGAGGGTGAGCCTTATACTCCGATGATCAAGTAAACGGTGATAAAATAGATACATAGGATAGATGAACTCGGATGGTGAGACAAATAAATTATGGTGAAAAAGGAGAAGGACAAAATGTTACGTTACGATGTTACTCGCTGACTGTATGAGATCTGATTACGTTGGTGGACAGTTGGTCGTAACTCGTAGCATTTTGTCCTTCTCCTTTTTCACCATAAATAGGATAGACGTCTGTATTTCGTGGCCAAAAAATGGGGTACGGTTTATATTCTAGTGCAGCTTATTCTCCGGAAAATACGGCACGTTGTTTATCATGTGTCAATGCATAGTTATACTACTACAGTTAGACCTCGTTAGGACGAACTTCAAGGGACTGGACAAATTTGTTTGTCTTATCGGGAGTTCTTCTTATCCGGATCTGACAAAAAATCGATATGCATATCAGATGGATTGTATTTACGTGAAGGTGCATGCTGTGGCACATGGGAAGCATTTTAATCTTAGCATAAGCCAGAGACAGGTAAGTACACTGACAATGAATCACGACTGTGCAGAAAGTTCGTACAGCGCGCTGATTTTGTTCAAAACACACTTGAACTGTACGTACAATATGGCCTCGAATATTGAAAAAAAGAAGAAAAAACGGCAGCCAGCCCACGCGCGCACGCCCGTGGACCGAAAGTTCGTACTACATGTACATGACCACGCTGATTTTGTTCAAATCACACTTGAAAATAGTTCGTTTTCGCAAAGGTTCGCTGTACAGAAGTTCGTCGTAAACGAATAATTTTGACTTGAATTGATGCCTGGCCAACCATAGGATTGGCCCTAGTTCGTACTAATGGAAAGTTCGCCTTATCAGTGTTTCGTCCTAATGAGGTTCGACTGTACTTGAGGTATCCCTTGTCAGTAACTTATATCGGAAATAACTTGCTTTCCGTGTGCGATGGAAAGTATTGGAGACAGCACCCTAACAGTGTGATTTTCCTGTGCTCATGCGTGCGTGCATGTGTGTGTGCGCGTGTGTGTGTGTGTGTGTGTGTGTGTGTGTGTGTGTGTGTGTGTGTGTGTGTGTATACATATGTGTGCGTGCGTACGTGTTTCGTTTTGTTCATAGGTCGTTGGTTTGATCCTGGAAACACGTACCCTAGCCAATCCCATGCTTACAATCATTGTCACGCCTAAGGGTGAGAGTGTGCATATCAATATGCATGTGTGTGCGTGGGGGGGGGGGGGGGCATGTGAGTGTGTGTGTGGGGGGGGGGGGCATGTGTGTGTGTGGGGGGGGGGGGGGGGTGCATGTGTGTGGTGGGGGGGGGGCATGTGTGTGTGTGTTGGGGGAGGGGGAGGGGGCATGTGTGTGTGTGTGGTGGTGAGGGGGGGGGGGGGGGGGGGATGGGTGCGGGTGTTGGGTGCAAGTGTTGTAGTATGTTATTTTGTGTACATCATAATTATGTAAGTGGTGTTTGTACATGCGCATGTTGCTGTAGTGTGAAAGGCAGTCTTCATCTTGAGTTCGCCATGTCCACTTGTGTTTCGTCGTCGTGTCAATACAGTTGTTCCAAGATGTAATTATCTCTTGTATCGTCTTGTATAAGTTTGGAGATGGCACGGGGCTGGGAGCAGGAGAGAAAGTCCAGTTACAGCATTATTAGTGTTGGTAGCAGTGGTAGAAATTGTTATATCCCGCAACATTATGGATTCGTCCTGCGTGGCCCTCGCTCCCAGTTCCCGTTGTCATCTCCAGTCGTCCGTTCGTCACACGTTTCGTCCGTCTTCAAGATATTTGTCTCGTCCTCGTACTTCATCAATCGTCTCCCTCGTCTCTCGTCTCGTCGCCTACAGCATTGTCCCGGGACACGACGTAAAACTGTGCCGAGGAGGAAAACCGAGGAAAAACAGAGGAAGTTGAGGACGCCATGAATCGATTTTACAGTAACAGTGCAGAAGAAGAGGAAGTCAAGCTGCAGATCTGGCAGATGGCAGACTACGTGAAGAGTTTCGTTGGCGAGAGGGCACGTGTGTTGTTGTGAACGTGATGAGTGTGTGAGTTTTGTATTTTCTGTTCTCCACACGTTTTCTTCTTTACTATTATGCTCTCCTTGAAGGTAAAGAGGCGCCCGCACAGTGCATGTGTTCTGTTCAATTTTTGATTTGCTCTTCTACTGAATTATGAGGATAACTGGAGGCCCCACAGGGCCAGTGGATTTTTGTTCTTTTTGTTTTTCTTCTGATTTGTGCTCTTACATTTAGAATATTTGCGTGATCGTGAGGTGTTGTGTGACTTGAGTTATTTAAGAGGTTATCATTTCCCACATGTGTGACCGTGATCGTGGCTGGTGTTCTGGGTGGGCGGACGAACGGAGTTTTATAATCGGCAGTGCAGGCTGACATACGTTATTTCCAGTAGTGACTGGTGACGTGTGATTTAGTAGTGGGTGTGAGCTTTTCCTCTTTTGCTCTTGTTTTTTTTTTATTGGAATCGGGGACGATTCTACTGCGGGGAGGGAGTAATGTTGTAGTATGTTATTTTGTGTATGTCATGTGTACGTGGTGTTGGTGTGCCTGTTGCTGTGGTGCGAAAAACTGTCTTCGTCTTGAGTTCGTCATGTCCAGTTGTGTTTCGTCGCCGTGTCGATAAAGTCATTCAAAATGTTATTTTCTCGTCGTCTTGTGTAAGTGTGGAGATGGCACGGGACTGGGCGCAGGAGAGAAAGACCAGTTACAACGTATGTATATGTGTTTGGGGGGTGTTGGGTGTTGGGTACATGATTGTACGTATTTACGTCGTATTATATAACCCAATACTAGTTCAATACTGTCAAACTAACAACATGATTGTACATGTGTGTGTGTGGGGGGGGGGGGAGGTAGTTGGGTACGAGAGTGTGTGTGTTGGGGGGGGGGGGTGTTGGGTACATGATTGTGTGTATGGGGGGGGGGGGGGGGGGTGCTTGGTATGCTAGCATGCATGTGTGTGTGTGGGGGGGGGGGGGAGGTAGCTGGGCACGAGAGTGTGTGTGTTGGGGGGGGGGGGGGGGGTACGACACACACGCAGCTGGTTTGTGTTACATGTCCGCAATAACTGAACATTGATTGCAACAAGATAAAGCATGTGACCTTTGACTCATTTTGACCGCCATGATTCAGGCCTGTAGAGCGATTGGTGATATAGCGTATTCAAGGTGCAAGGCAGATAAATACTGTAGGGGGGCGTCCGTAATTATCGATCTTTTGCACAAAACGAAACAAAATCATTGGTGGGTGGGTCGAGGAGAGTTTCGTTTTGAAAACTATTGATAGCATACAGATCGATCCATTCTTGCTGTCAAGTTAATATTATCTGAAGTTCAGGGGGTAGGTGGAGGAGGGTTGTAAGTTAGCTAAACTTTTTCGTTCCGTGAAATTATCAATAATGCCGGATGCCCCCCCCCCCCCTAAGATACATTCATATCTACCAACGTGCTTACATGGTGTTCTTGACCGGTGTTGTCCTGTAGTTCCCGTGCCGCAGTCACTGATCACTTCGGACCCGTCCAATGACTTGCTGGAGAAGATGAAGAGACAGTCACTGGCACGCATGCCGAACAGTCCCGGCCCTCAGGATCAGCTGCGAGCATCGATTGAGGTCCTGAAAGAGGTGCGTGGTGGTCATTGGAATATCATCTCTTCAAGTTGTTTTCTTTCCAGTTTCAACCCTGCAACAATCTCTCCTCTCCTCCTTGCACTCTCAGCCGACAAGTGCTACCCTCGGATGGGGGAGTGGAGGAGAGATTGTTGCACTAGTGAATGGCTGAATGGTATCGTTCACAGGTTTATAGATGCTCTTTCTACCCTAAGGATGTGTGCCTGTGGATTTCCAGACTGAAGTGATGCGTAATATGGTTGAACTCTGTTTGAACAACATCATTGCTTCACTTGTCGATTTAAAAGTGCGATTATAGCCAAAATATCCGACCAATATGTCGAAAGTAGCTTCCATTTCACTTACCACATGCACGGTCCAAAACCCATCCGAGGGCCACAGGGGCGCAGGGGCGGATCCAGGAGGGGTTCCAGGGGTTCCGCGGAACCCCCTAAATTTCGTAATTATACTACTTGAAGCCATATGCATGTGCATAATAACATGTACCAGCTAGTCAGTTTTGACTAAACCGGCAACCTTGTAGAGATCGCTGGATCCGCCGCTGGGCCGCATGAGCCTTGGCGCTGCTTTTGGCACGTAGGCATTCGGCCAAGACTGTGGTACTTGCAACTCTGTACTGCTCTGTCAGTTTGTTGTCTTGTTGTCCACTTGAATCATTGGAAACGCTGCCTGTGCTTTCACTGTGTGTGTGTGTGTGTGTGTGTGTGTGTTTTGCATTCAGAGTCTCGAGTCGTCGGATGCTCTGACCCAGTTTGGGGTAAGTGAAGGCATCCTCTCATGTTGTTTAGAAGGAAACTAAAATGTTTATGGTCACAGGGGCACTCCGCCCCCCCCCCC